TAAACAAATACCTTTTTAAACCACTAGTACCAGCTTGGCCAATTGCTCTAAAAAATCAGGCAAATTATTCCGAAAATTTGCGGCTCTATTGAATATTTTGGAACCGTTGGAAATCACTAAGGAACGTTGATATTTAGTGTAGTTATGTGCAATTGATGTACAATTATGGACTGACACAGAAAAAAGCGCTACACACAAAAACCTTTAGCACTTATGAACCCTTGACAAAATACTAATGAAACAAAAAGCGTTTTAAAGATAATTTCATTACGAGTAATTTGTATATACTTTCCTGAATGTGTTTCAATTCCAAATCAAAATTAATTCCTGGGTTTCAGTCATTTATTGTCTTTATTTATCAATTAAAATACGTTTCGGTGTTTTCTCCATTCTCAATACTCTAAATGTATGCCAAGGCTTAAAGCAGCAACAACGCTACACGTAAAAACTGATGATGGCGGAAAAATACACCGAAACGTATTTTAATTGATAAATAAAGACAATAAATGACTGAAACCCAGGAATTCATTTTGATTTGGAATTACGAGTAATTAACAAAAACTTGAAGCTGAAATCATTTGGTTTGAGAGAATTTTTTTTGGCTGGAATCCTTTCCATCGTTGTCTTTACGTTAGTTTTGTTGATTGTTCTGGCGGCAGAATTCTACTTTACTTGATACTCTGATAGGGTTTTAGCTTCTTTTTTCGTTTCTTTCAAAGCTCTTTTTCCCGAGGCCTAATATCGTTTGATTAGGCAAAGCTGGACAATTTGGTTGGTTGGCTTCCCGTCCAGACAGGACACCAAGTCCTGCCAAAGAAAAGTTGGTACTTTATATTGTTTCATGAATGGTAACATAATGGTTTTGTAGACACTCTCTTACGTAAATGTTCGGTACTTATTGCTCTATTCGTTACAAAAGATTTGCTGCGCTCACCACAGCTACACAAAGCTTCTTGAGAAACTTATTGGGAAACTTTGAGATTTTCTTAGTGCTGAACTCTTCATTCATTCTTCGCGCTAACGTGCTGCGTAAATTTTTTGACCCGGAAGCTGGGAGAAGTCACAAAGAACGTACTCAATCTTTTTTTTGGAAAAAATAAGTTTTCTGCTTCCAGATTCTTATTTGAATTTCTGTTTGGTGTCGTCTGAACTTTATGAAGCCCATCTTTTTCGATTCGACGTATCGTACTCTCACTGCAACCTACTTCATTGCCCGATTCTTCATTTTCCGATTGAACAACCTGCGATTCTTCTCCAATTTCTCGACAACTTCCTTCACTGTTTGTGGGCGTGTAAATTCATTTTCCTACCCTAACGCACTTTTCCAATCTACTCTCCAGTTCTACGCTTAATATGTAAAAATCAATTAGAGGTTTGAAGGAAGATTTTTTGATTTTGTGAACAGTTAGATCGGTTTTTGTCTGTAGCGATTTTTTCTCAGTCCTTAGCAGTAGTAAATATAATTTAAAAAATCACATTCAGTCACATGCCTTAAATAGGTCTGTACCTAAACCTAGCCAATACATGCATAAGCGGTATTCGAAATTGTCAAATTGCGGCCAGTATAAATCAAATGTACCAGCTTTTTTAAAAGAACAAAGCTTCCTCTTAAACAAAAAAGTGTGGCCTCATTTGTCCTCGGATGTATTGTATTGTCAACTTGCTTTACATTTATTTGACAACTAAATAATACACAAGAAACTATGCTCACGAAGATCAAGACAAGATGCTGAAGAAATTGCCCGCTTGAGTGATCTTTACGTGACTGGATTTTGATTGGTGCTGAAGCTTCGAAAAGTATGTGATCTACATTTTAATTGGTTGGTTACAACTTTGATATTATCAATTTTAGGCAACAATGGGATTGACTGACCTGAAAATTTAAAGAATACCGAGTATATAGACATTTACTGACCAAAAGGTATTTTTCCGTCACTTACCGTAGCCATTAGTTGGTAGAGTAGTATTCAGTCTCTTACCTGAAACAAAGACAAATGTTAATATTTAAAAAGTATGATCGGCTCGAAATTCTAAAACTTAATTAGGCACATTTTGTAGGTTGGTGTATTGGATAGACCAACTGCAAACAGTAAAATAGTTAGTTTTAATGGTTATTGGCATAATAAAATGCTGCTTGCAAACTCGAACAACGTAACTAGCGCATTTTAAGAGATCTTATAACTATTTAACGCTGCATCCTCTAAGAGTTCCACACTAGATTTCTGCAAATTTGCCCACCACATTTCACCTATTTTCTTGCACAATTTGCAAAAATCCCCCAATCAAACGCAGGTTTCGAACCACCTTTAGAGACTGCCGGTCTAGGAAATATCGAATTCCAGACATTGAATGGAGGTAATAAGCAGTGGACCATACAAAATTCTACGCTCAGCCCATTTAGAATCAAGTCTGTTTTTCTATGACCTCCCACAAATGTTTGGGCTTTTGTCCAATCTTTACGGTAGGAAAATGGTCAAAGACTGGTGCTTTCTCGCGAGCGGTTCTTTTGATAGCGATATCCTTGTGCTGACCCGAAATAATGCAATGATTTCTGGAGTTTGGAGTCTTCAGTTGGAAGTTTGCTTAATATCGAAAAGGGGAAATTGATTTAACTAGTTTTTATGTCCTGTTTCTTTAGAGAACATGTTCAGAGTACGACCTGCTTTGAGTTGCTGTCTGTTGCAGAAGTTGTAAACAAACTTTTCTCAAATAAAATTTAGAAAATTTCCATAAAATGGAACATTTTGCGTGTGGATTTTCATTGGAGGCTATGTAATATAGCCGTTAGGGCATATGTTTGCATGATTCAGCGTTTCTTCATTTCATCGATCATCAAGAAATAAAGAATACCGGCGTCCGCTAGAATGATTCAATGAGCATATTTTAAAAAGCTTTCATATGAACTTCGAAATTAATAAATAAATAGTATTTTCTCCAAATGTTCTACATTTGCTGCCTGAAATTTTTTTGCTTTAATAATTTTTTGCAATGTGCAAATGACTTATTTGAATAGGACAACTCTTTCAAAAGAGATCTTTAGTACAGTTTTAGACTTATAACGATTTCAATTAAATCATTTTTTTTGTGGTTTCTACTTTTCCAGCAAGACATTTAAAAAACTAAGTTTCCATTTAATCAACGGATTTGTCACACATCTGAAATCTTCAATAAATAATAAACAATCGCGTTTAAAATTGTCGTTTCTTATACAATTTTTTTTTATTTTTGTAATATCGGCGTCCGTTAAAATGATTCAATGAGCATATTTTAAAAAAGCTTTCATATGAACTTCGAAATTAA